GAAGATCAGTGTTTAAAACGCTGCCTCATTGTAGCACAGAAGAGGCGCTAATCAGAGAAGACGTCCTCAGCTCCAGCACTGAGCTTGATAATCTACTCAGCGGCAGCTGAAGGACCCCGTGTCACTCCTACAGATTTCTACAGATCTCCTTCGCAAATTACCCCAGGCATTGATCTTGCCATGCACCTTTTCAGCCCCCCCTCCCAGCACCCCCCCCAAAGCCTTTGGCTGCAGTTTCTCAACACAACAAGGCGCAGCTAACGGGCCACGCATTACTCATGTGAACAAGCGAGCTCTGCACATCATAAGTGCGACCATTAAGCGTAATGTAGAATATACACTGGCTGTCACTTTTCATTTTTCACACTGTGTGTGTGAGGAGAGAGAGAGAGAGAGAGAGAGAGAGAGAGAGAGAGCGAGAGCAAGAGAGAGACAGTACTGGCACTGGAGCACTCAGTCCAATCCCTCTCTCCTTCTGTGCTGACAACACACAACAGCTTCCCCTTTTTCTTGTCATAGATTATTGCCTTTATGTTCCCAATGAATCAAAGCCTCCTATACCCTGTGGTGATTCCTGGGTTATTAAAGTAACTTTAGGGGGTTTTAGGAGTGCTATGCGAGTGTCTGTCACCTCAGCTGCTTATGAATATATCAGTTATAACTCTTCCCTTGCAAGATTTCTCTCCCCTTTTCTTCTTCCTTGACAGCTAATTGAAGGTTCCCTTTGGGCTCGCCGTTCGACAGACATATTAATTTCAGGGTTGCTGGTCTACTGAGCTTAAGAAAAATGTTTTTGTGTTGTAACATAGGGCAAATTAATATCAAAGAATGCTTAAGTACTGCGTGAATGGTGGCTGAGTGAACACCCACTAGTCTGGGGCATTATCACAAAATTCAAACCCTGATGTAGTCTTGGTATAAGACATTGAAGGCATATGGTGAGAAATCGACGAAAGAAGAAGCTCAAAATGGTTCTTATATTAATGCTTAAAAAAGTAATTGAACTGGGAGTTTGTGTGAAAATCTGATATATTGAAACAATATGGAAAAAATATAACCCTAGTATCAACTTCACATCTCAGTATATCATATTTCCGAGATATTGCCAAAGCCTGCTAAGCACTTGCAGTGTGATGGTTTACCAGTTATAAGGTTCACATACCTTTATTGTACAAATACAGTGCTTCAAATATATCAACGTGGAAGACAGTAGTATCTTTTTATGCGACAACCTAGTTTATTAACACCTTGAACCATTGTGAGTCTGACTGAAATCACTTGTTAACAATGCAGAAAGCACAAGTCCCTTGACAGCAGCATATGGCAGACTAGCCACTGCTCTAGATTCACAATGCAAGCTAACCATTAAAAAAAAACCATGCAGTATGATTCCTGATGCTTGCACAGATTAGTACAGACCCCACAGAAAGTAAGCATGCGACATGTGGGTGGACAAAAACCACATACATACATGGATTTCTCAGTGACAGAAAATAAGAAATATTTCACAATTCCAGAGGATATTGCACAGTTCCCAGACAGGGGTATTGTCTGCTGACAGAATTCTCGGCAGACATTTTAAACAGGTGGGAGACAGAAAATAAAAGCACCCTTATTCATACATTGCTCATACAGCATAGCAAATTAGCCATGACTCACAAATGCCAACTAGACATTTGAAAGATTATGATATGCCTCCCCCACAATAGCCTCGATTTTGAGGCAACAGTAGCACCTGAATAAGTACTACCACTGCAATGAAATCAGTCCTGCTACGTGGAGAAGGGGAATGTGTTTCAAATACAGTCATTTTCGTCTTGTGAACCAAAGAAGCGCAGACGTGACAAGGTGATATTCAGCCTACTGCCTCTTCTTTTCCTCCCACTCAGATTTGCTCCACTCAGCTCCACAAGGAAATAATGTAATGTAATGAATCCAGGCGTCATTGTTGAACGCGTGATGGCTGAGACTGTTGCGACTAACCCCTCATAAGCAACTTTAAGCCGGTTAGATATCTAAAGTGTCTGACTGTTTCAAGTGCACTTTATTTTGCATTCCTGTAGACTTTTGAATGATGTTGAAGAGGTGCGAGTGTTGCTTATTTTGGCTGACACGTTTTGATCTATATTCCTAGGTTTTGTTATTCTTATATTTTGGCAGTGTTTCTATACTACGCTGTCTTTAGCTGACAAAATTGGAGGCTCTTTCTGCCTCAGACCTATACCTTATCTGAACACTAACTATGTCCAAAGCTTCACCAGGACAGCTTGGGATAATATAATCCAGTGGTCGCAATCTTTCATTGCAAGACTGGAACTTGCTTAGATAGCGAAGTACTTGACAAGTCTTTGAAAAAAGCAGGTAATAGATGTGTGAGAATTGGGGGGGAAAAGTGATGTTGATTCTGGATGCAACCTCAGAGGGTCTTTTAATCCCTCCTTTCAGCGATAATTATAGTAACTTTTTAAAATAATTCAGTAAAACGCTTATATGAACGTGTTTCGATTATATTGTTAGAATTCCAGATAGCTGGAAGTTTCGTTTATGAGGTGGGCTTTGTGAGACGTAGAGTTGCGCACTAACCTGATTTGAGAATATAAAGGAAAGAAGTATAAATTGGGTTTAAGGGAGTAAAACATTTGGAAACTTATATTGCTTTTTCAGTTTGTATTTTTCGACCCTTTCTGTTTTATAGACTTACGCATTAAGTCTCTCCTGTACTCTCAAACAGTGAATTGAATTCTTGAACTACTCTCCACAGCATCGCTGAGCATCTGAGTGTGTTTGAAGGAGAATGCTAAGCACTTAACTCTACCATGAGACCATGCAGCCATTTCTTTGGCTAGCATGTTACTTGGCAACAGTCCTTCACTCCCCACGAATACTGCGGCTCGTTGTGGTTTTGAGCGCTGGACAGCACATGGCAAAGCTGGGTCCGAGTCAGAATCCCAGGGGTTTGACTCCCCCAGAGTCAAGTGGTGCTATAACTTGAGCAAGGTTTCAACACACTCATGATTTGCCCTGCAAAGTGTGCCTCACAAAATTGCATTTTTCATGTCTTTCATATTGCAGGACAAAGTAGGTCGTAATCGTGGGAACTTGCCTTCGGGCATTCAGAATGCACCTGAAAGAGATATTTGTTGATCCTATGCCTGAAAAGAGCTTCATTTAATATGTCTGGCAAGTTGCACTGCTCGTATAACCACGGCAGACAGTTTTATATGAAATTGTGCATGCATTATTGCTGAAAAGGTATTAACTAGAATAGGTGCTGAACTTTCTCATGAAGGAAATTACAGTCACAGAGACATAATCAAGTGTGAGCAGTGCTCTTCTACTCCTCCAGTAATGGATATTCGCATGTTTTACTTGGCCGCCTCTTTCCACTGCCCATTCCAGCCAGTGCCTTTCAACATGCATTACATACACTCATGGCTTATTGTGCACTGTGATGTATGGCAGAGATTTCCAATTGCTGGTAGAACTTCAAGCACTGTGTTATTTCACTCAGCATGACAAGCAGAGAATCTACACATGTTGAGTGCAAGGAAAAGAAATGGATTACCAGGAGAGAACAGTTGAGCATGGCAGACAGAGTGTCAAAACATCCGATCAGGTGAAACATCAGTGTTTGATGGTGGAGCCTCTGGAGCCGTTTTCCGCAGGTCTAGGCCGAATCCACACTGGGCTGAACCGGAGCTCTCCACCGGTCAGTCGAGACTAATTCACAGTAGGTCATGACCAACCTCAAAGAGAAAGCTCTCTCGCACGCACACTGCGCTGGAATCTCTCACACACTCCATGGGGCTATTATCAGCAGGCTGCCAGACCAAGCTGTTTCCATCAGAGTCTTGTTTTCCAGTTGAAAGCAGCAGATACTATTCAGACGTATTTCTTTGCTTTTGAACATGCTGTGATTTTACAGCTTTGGGTTTCCATTGAATACTATATGTGTAATTTAGCCAGTTTGGCTAGTCTTAGTTTTCAGGAAGTGTGATTTATTTATTTTTATTTTCATCTTTTTTTCTAGTTATATATCCAGTGGTAGTCATTACCGATTTCCACAAGCTTCGCAAATCCCCCCTGTTGTACAGCACTAGCCAGTCTGGCAGTGGGAAAGCATGAATGCTCTTCCTCTAAGGCACGTGAAAAGTCACCACCACCCTTCTTTACAAACTGTTGCACATAACGTCGTAGGGAAGAGAGAATACTGCCTAACTCTATAAATATGAGCTGACCTACAACTGGGCCAAAGCTATCCCTACTGCCCAGAGAGTAGGATAAGATGTGCCACATATCAAACTCGGGTCTTGACAATAGGACCTTCCCCTTCTTACTGGTTGTGCCACTTGTGAGGTGTGAATTATAGATAATGTAAAGTGTTGATGAGAATTGGCAGCAAGCTAGAAAACGCTTTTTGATAAATCAGTGCTTGTTGGTACTGACATGCCATTTAGCCTTCTTAATATACTTCAAATACATCTATGAGAAACCTTGATCACAACTCAGTTTGCGACAAGACATTGCTTATTTTCCAGTATAGCATGAAAAAAGAGTTGTAGCAAGTGTACGTTACATTGCTATGTGTCCTTGTTTTCCCAAATCAGAAAATATTTGTCGCCTATGGCACCACATTAGTCATGTGCTGACTTTAAAACAGGAAATTGCAGGTGGTGGGGGCAGGGTGTCATTGCAGAATATTGTTCAGTATGTTCAAACAAAACAGCATACTCAGGTGGGGGCTTTTTTTGTTGAAAGCTAATTGAAAACATTTGAAAATAGCAGGAACATGCACTGTGTTTTCTGTCATCACTTTTTTATGCCACTTACCCAGAGCCTAGAATAATATGTAGGTCAAGAGAAACAGTGTCTCCATATTGCTTCTCTATATAATTCAGGATTTGATTTGAAATCAAAACAGATTTGTTGGCAATTGGGCTGGCATCAGCCTGAGGGAAAACAGTTCAACATGAGCTAAATTTACCTTCATTTCTTATTAGCACCACCTATCTCTGAAGTCACCTCGGCACCAGTGCTGCCGCGAACAACGACTACTACGACGACAACAACAACCCAACAAAAAGGCCTAGTGACGACCATAACCACTACGGGGACGCGAGTTGGTAACAAACCCCCAAAACCCCCAGCAGCTCCGCCCCGGACCACTACTCCTCCGTCCCTGGACTCCTTCCCTCCCCCTGAGCGCTTCTGTGACAGCGTGGAGCGCAGGGACATTATTTGGCCGCAGACTCAGAGGGGCATGCTAGTGGAGCGGCCTTGCCCCAAAGGAACCAGAGGTAGGCATGTTTACTTCACCAGACACACTAGCTGGCATGTATGTCCTTAGGGCTACAAACTCGCTATAGCTCCGACACTGCATGCGATAGCAATGCGCTAAATCCCAGGGGATGCTAATCGCTATTCATTTGGGATCATTAAACAGAACAGTTTTGAGGAAATATTGTGCCTTGTGTTATAACATTTGGGAATATCGTATTATCTTCGAGAAAGCACTCTGTCATTGGGAACACATAAGATTAAACTGCTGGCACATAAAAACGCAAGCATATGTACCGTTTAAAATATGAAAATGTGCTAAATATCAGTGATATGGTGCAAAAAGTGCAGACATGTTTCATAATACTTCATAAAATTGGTTTGAATTGTCTTTTTCATAGGCACTGCCTCCTACCTGTGTGTGCTCTCCACTGGGGCTTGGCACCCGAAAGGCCCTGATCTAAGCAACTGCACCTCCCACTGGGTCAATCAAGTAGCTCAGAAGGTTTGTGTCGACCCAACTCCACATTACCAGCAATACAAATGTGCCTAATAGCTCAGACAGTTTGCTGAGCTCACTGCCATGAATATAAAACAGCCCCCAGTGCCGAATTTTGAGGTCCATGCTTCCCGCTATCATTGGCTAAGATTGAGAAACGTAGCCTTGAGCTATCCAATAGGGCGCCCCGCTGCTTGATCTGATAATACTCTTCTAAATGTGTGCTCTTAAAGGGCTAATGCGTGCTGCTGGCTGAGGATAGAATGGGCCGCCATTAGACACAATGGACCACCCGCACCTTGTGCCTCCACAAAATTAACTTTTATTCAATTCAGAAAAAAAACCCTTGTCTAACGCGCTCAGGAAGCATTATCAGTTTTTAATTACTAAGTGACGGCTCATGGGTGCTGTTACCGAAGCATATTTCCTCACAGCGTGAAGATGTCATAATTAGGGGCGAGAGGCTCACGGACGCAGAATGATATTTTTCGGACGCCTGCTGAGAGGCTAATTTGCTCGATCTTTCAGATCCGGAGCGGGGAGAATGCAGCCAACCTGGCCAACGAGCTGGCCAAGCACACCAAAGGACCCATCTTCCCCGGTGACATCAGCTCCACCATGAGGCTCATGGAGCAGCTGGTGGACATCTTGGATGCTCAACTGCAAGAGCTGAGGCCTAGCGAGAAGGACTCTACTGGACGGAGCTTCAACAAGGTATAATTACAGTTCTTCTTCCGTTGCTGCTCTTCCTTCATCAGAGGTATAGGTTTCTGACTTTACAACTGTTCAATTCAGTTAAGATTCTTTAGGAAACCATTCAAATCTCACATTTCACCATGATTTAATTTAAATAATTTGGTGCAATTAAGAATTGCTCCAAAAATGCATCAAATACTCCCAATGTGCCTGGAGGACCTACAACAGAGTAGTCTCATGGGGCCAGATGTGATTTTGTCCCAAGAATACACATCTGGGGACATGCTGTTAAGCTGGCAAAATCCACCGCAAACAAGGCTATGCCCCCAATTGCTCAAGTGTGTGCTCTTTTAATGTCCGAGTACAATCTGCTATCCAAGCGAAGCAAGTTAGCCAACGAAATAGTAACATTAGCTCGCGTTCATTCTTCAAAATGAATGATTCAGAAATGCCCTTCAGTTTAGTTCTGTCAGAGGTGTGCTCGATGCACAAAATCGATTTACTGAAACTGATTAAAATACTTTGTTTGAAGGAATTAACTCAGAGCAAATGAGATTTGGCTTGTTTGCAAACAGGTGGTATGAGAAAAGGTTAGTATTCCAGACCTGGCCAGCTGTTTACAACTTGATGTTTAAAAGACAAAAATTGTTAGTCTTGGTTGTATTTCGATTACTGTTCATATTAAAGGAGCAAGTTCATTTTCTAAATGCAAAGGGGATTCCAGCTGGATATGTAGGTCACATCTTCGGGCAGAATTTCAGACTGCTTGGTATAGCAGTGGACAAAGCACATACCATTTTTCAGTGTGTTTCAGTGTGTACATGTGTTTATGCATTTTTAACGTTTCTGTTGCTTGCTGTGGATAACAGGTGTATTTTTAACAATACCTTTGTTGTCAGAGGATAAGGGATGATCTTTTTCGCCTGCTTTTTAGTGGGCAAGACAACATATCATGTAGCCAAGAGCTTGTCTTTTGTGGAACATAGCTGCCAATTATTTCTACATCACTTTTATTCCAGCTATATTTTTGCAACTGGGAATGACAGCGGCCACATGGACTTGCGACCCGTCGTCAACTTGCATTACTTACCCAGTGATATTGTTTAAAGCTATAGTCTAGTTTAACAGAACATTTTTTCCATTCAAGAGGTTGTGTGTTTTACCACATGTAATGTGTTCTCTGCAGTGTTTGGGGGACTTTTCAGTGATGCAAACTTACAAGGTGTTGGGTTGGTTTAAAAATTTTCACTCTGTTTCAACCCCAGTAGGTCTTGAGTTCCTACCTACATTTAGCCCAAGAATTCTCATGGTTGTCCCCAGACATGCATTTTCAATACAAGATCACACCTGGCTCCATGAGGCTATGTACAGAGAAGTGGAAAATAAACAGCAAAAACAATACGCCAAACATTTTTCTTACATATTTTTACATTTGAAAATTAAATGTTGGAGAAAAATGAGTGCACAGTTTATTACATTTTATTGTAACTGATTTCAGTGAAGGTCTTCATCAGGATTTAAGCACATGGAGCTCATTCAGCAACTGCACCTTTGTCAGGGATTCCAGCCTTAAGTAAACTTCAGAAATTATTATTATTGGCAACCTATTGTTATGAGTCTGCACTGCACTGAGCTTTTTTGTTTCTGGCCAGACACCATCTTTCAGACTTTGGCTTCATTTGTAATAGAAAAAGGCTTCAGAAAAACTCAGCTGTTTCGTTGCTGAAGCCCATGTGGCAGAACCTCCACATATTTCTAATGGTCTCTTTCTTTTCTTTGATCTCTCTTTTTGTCTTCTTTCTAATGACAAAGCTTCAAAAACGAGAAAGGACATGCAGGGCGTTTATGAAGGTACACTTGAGCCACGCTACCGTTGTCACTGTGTTCTCTTCACGTCCCTCCCCCACTTTTCTGTCCCTCCTTCCTTGCCTCTGCTCAGCGGCATGCTCCTGTCGTCCTGCCATGTAGCCTCTCATTCTCTCCATCACTCCCTGCATTTTGATCTGCCAGTGCCCTTCATGCTCTTGCCATATATACTGTATTCGGTGGCTTGGATTCTTTTGCTGCTACTAATCTTATTCCAGCCTGATGCAGCGTTTTGTTTTCAGTTCGGTTTTTCTCTTAATTTTCTTTTAATTTAATTTTTCTTTCGATTGATGTTCTGATTTGCAGCTTGTTGTCAGCTTGTGGCCTTTTATTCTTTCTGGAGGCTGAATTCGAATGGCTGCATTGAGTGTGAAGCAAGATGTCTCTTTCAGTGCTGGATCAAGATCATGAAAACATTGTTATTCTTAAAGCTGTGATTTCTTCTTATGGAATATCTGTAGAGCTGGTGCCTAGTGGGGTTGGGTAGTATGATGTACCGCGGTATGTGAAAATGATAACGGTATTTCAAAATTGACATGTCAGATTTCTGTTCCACGTCTGAACAGATAAATAAACACATTCCACCCATTTATATTTTAGAGGGCTCACTGAAAGGGGAGAAATCAGAGCCAAGAAAAACCTCAGAAAAACTAAGCATGACAGCAGCTCAGCCACGACGAAGAGCTACACGTATGAGAATCGCACGTTCTCCGCACACACCATCGAACGTGTTTGATTTCGGCTTTCGTTCTAACACTAGTCAATCGATTTGCACTATCCTCTAAATTAATGTTATTTTAGCCTCATTATTTAAACATCATTTAATCATGATTTTTAATCATCCCCACACCCACCCAGTTGCTCTGGTAATACTATATACCATGGATTTTTTTGGAGACAGTTTGAAGGTAGTGGAAAAAAGGGAATACGCCCAACATGCCTAGAAGCCATTGTTTTTAGAAGAGAAACCCACTGTGGCACAGAAGGAGCCTAAGGTTAAACAACCCATGTAATTTGCAGAGGGTTAAATTATCTGCAAAGTAGGACTGTGTGCATGTAAACACAAGCAGGATGGTTCGACTTGGACGTTGGGACATCCGGAGAGAATTGAAGCATAATTACAATGCATTCTATGAGTGATTGGACAGTGACACACTTTTTGTTGTTTATTATTGGGACCATAATTAATCGGACAGTTGGCTGTCATATTGTACTTGGCCAGCTACATGTTGTTGCATCATTAGTTCGTGCACAACAAAAGATCTTCAGCTGATTCTAAATGTAGCATTTCCATCTGGAGTCTTTCAGCATGAGGTCCATAGAAATGTGAGTAATAGTACAGTAGGTCAACACAAAGCTGAACGATCAGAATAAATAAATAAATGAACACAGTGGTGAAACAAAACCTGATTGCCACAGAGGCCATAATAGTGAATGATTAAAGTATACTTCTAATCATCAAATAAAACTGCAAAACAGGTTAAGAACATCACAATGAAGACATAGATCTAATAAAGGCTACCACACACAGAAGAGTACACCAGCCTGACCTCGTTGAATTTATTACAAGAAGTATCGGTAAGCCGCAGGTCAGACTACAACAGTTTATATGGCTCTGAGACAAAGTTCTATGAGCACATAAAATGAAAATTAACCTGTCCTAAAGTTATAGAAAGAGGGAAGTGTGGAGAGAAAAAAGAGCTGCTCATGACCCAAAGCAAACCATCTCATCTGTGAAACATAAAAAGATGGGTATGTGTGGCTGCCATTTAAACTGGCATACTTGTCTTTATTGATCGCAGAAGCAGAATTCATTCTGAAGTGTACAGAATCATCTTAACAACTCTGATCCAACGAAATGTCTCAAAACTCACCTTGCAGCAGGACAATGAGCTGAATGAAATACAGTTTCAACTATGTGGAGACCAAGAACTGCGATGTTCTTGACTGGCTAAGTCAGACATCTGGCTTGAACCCTATTGAGCATCCATTTCACTTACCAAAAGCAAGACTGAAGGCAAAAACACTGAAACGAGTAGAAAGTGAAAATGGCTGCATTATAGGACAGGAGTAGCATCATCCAGGAAGCATTTAGTGATATCTTTGGGTCGCAGACCTTAAGATGGATTAGCATCGAAGTACTAAACATGGCATTTTTATCTCAGATTATGGTAATTTTTCCAATTACGTATGACCTCTTAAAATAGGGAGATATGTATTAAAAGGGCTGTGTTTCCTGTGGTTCACTTGAATTAAAGCAGACATTACACACCTTAACCCCATCATCCTTTCATTTCATTTCAGATCCAGCGTGCTGGAGTACAGAGCCAGAACAACAAAAATTGTGTCACTGTGTGTGTCCTTGTGTACATATGTACTGCACTGTATATTGGGCACTTTGTGAACTTTCCTTATTGCTTGCGCTTGAATGAAATGTGCTGTTAAGAAAGTCAATCAAAAAAAATTTGATTGACAAAATACATGGAACTAATGCTGTCAAGGTGTGTTTGTTTGTTTTCATGGTCATACACTGACCGCTGCTGGCATAAACTGAGAGATTTGACCTCTGACCATGGTGTTGTCATAAGTGCTGACACCACTGTTTCTTGTGGCTGCAGGCTATCGTGGATACGGTTGACAACCTCCTCCGTCCTGAGGCTCTGAAGTCCTGGCGAGACATGAACAGCACAGAGCAGACGCACGCTGCAACCATGTTACTGGATACTCTGGAGGAAGGAGCTTTCGTCCTTGCTGACAATCTTATGGAACCAGCCATCGTGAAAGTGCCAGCTAGCAATATAAGTGAGTAACACCAATGAAGGATGCGCAGATAATTATATCTGAATTATACACAGTGATGGGCAATGTATTTTTTGGGAGCCGTGGACACAGCAGAGTACTCGGCAACACCAGCCATATATGTAGAGCCTGTTTCGCTCCCTGCTTGTGCTACAGTGTTTACTGGAGTAGCAGATAGGGAGTTCAGACTATGGGGTGTCAATCAAGTGTGCTTGTTAGAATTTTAGGACCACACCCAGATATCTCTCAGATCTAATCAGTGGTTTTAAAGCAGTGTCTTATCATATTTTTATCCTTTTTTTCATTCAAACTTCAATGCATGTTTAATGTAGCACTACACTTTTATATCGTACAAACATTTTTAATATTTTATACTTTGTTTCCTGGAGCTTGAAATATTGTGATGTTATATTTTTGCCTGTAGTTACAGTAATAGGCTCAGGCAGCAATGCTAAAAATTTCCTTCTCTTATCATCTCTCTTTATCTGTCTCTGTCTCTCTTTCTCTCTCTCTCTGTCTAGTTCTTGATGTTTACGTGCTGAGCACAGATGGCCAGGTGCAGGATTTCAAGTTTCCACAGAGCAGCAAGGGCGGTATATCTATCCAGCTGTCCGCCAATACTGTTAAGCTGAACAGTCGGAACGGTAAGCCCCATCGCTTACACACGCACACACATACACACGCACTCACTTCTCAGGCAGAAGTAGAAGCAGAAGTGTTTATAGAGCGTGAGGAGTGTTAACTGCCGCTGCTTTTTTCCCCTGCTGTAACCATGGAGAAGGTGGCAACTGTCAAATTGGTCTTTCACTATAGCCTGTGGTCTATGAATCTGAACCTGCCGCTTTGACATATGTAGCTTTCAGTATGTAACATGAGGCTCGTTTCAGGTGCCTGCTTTCAGATGATTATTTCATGCCGCAAAAATATGTCGCGTGAACATTACCTTAAGGGTGCTGGATCGGGACTTCAAAATGCTTACATAAAGCATTTCTGGCATTGACAGAGCAGATGAATGAGCTTTCATAAACGCTTACAAAAAGAAACACGCTCACACACTATGCACTGTGACAACACTCACATCATAATGGATGTCAGTGGATTACCTACAGGACTGGCCTTCTGGCCATGAGGCTTAAAAAGATTTTTAATAGATAATTCCCATTGACACTGTAATTAAGTCTGAAAATTGACATAACATGTATCCAGAAATTGGTCCTTGAAGCGCTGCATGGCTTAAGATAAATGATAAATGAAGAATCAAGAATTTAAACCTCCCGACAAAAGATGTCATTAGTCAAGCTGCTACTATAATACCCCATATTCTTTTCTTTTTTTAAAGAAATCTAAATCTGATTCAGTTAGGACAGATGACACTGTCAAAAAAAAAAGCTGCAGTAAGATTCAGTTTAAATTGACTCAAATTTCCTGGTATATTTCAGCAGTCCCATTATGGTGACCACAGTTAGGAGGTCAGCTGGAGCAGAATTTAGAGTTGAGAAACAGCTGATAATAGTCTGTAATGATAATTGTCTTCACTCATTTCAAATCATTATGAGTATCTTCTGTTCTTCCTGCTCTTTCAGATTGTTTTCAATTTTCAAGTCACTTGTGTATAAAGAGAGGATTAGTGTATGAAAGAGAGGGTTAAAGGGTTTAGTAGTTGAGATTTGTTTCACAGATGCCAAGTGAGCTTTAGGGGTGTGAACCTTAAGCTTTACCACAATACAGTTTCAGTTTATAAGGCAGCAGCTTGATATTTGATTTGGTTGATGGTGAATATTTATTGAACTCTACCCGAATGAATGTCATAGATGGATACTTGAGTCTTCCAAATTTGACCATACAAAAACTGAAAAAAGAAAGGATTTTTACTTTGAACTTACTCAACAAAAAATGGTACTTTCACAATATGGAACAACATATTTTTGTTGGATTGATAGAACTGCATCATAGCCTTTAGAATTGATGCAATGATTACAGTTGATGTATTACACGCCTACGCCCATCTTTTCTGGTGGGACAAAGATCTGGACAGGACATTTCTTTCCTACGGGAACATTGTATGGCAGCTTATTGATTTCAGACTTGACAGACTTATGACTGACGCCGTCTCTTTGAAACGGTTTCAGACGAGACTGTCTAAAGACTCTTAGTCATATTAATAATGTTGGAATGCTGGGTATGACTCTGCATATCTTGGGGGCTCCTGGCTATCAGCAGTTTTTGCTCAAATACTGCTGCCATGGGCATTCGTCTCACACCTTCCCCAACTGCCACCTTCCTCCTAAATGTTAATCCTGCTCTCCATCACACACAGCAGTCTTCTCACACCAGTACAGCGGCAAAGAACACCATCCTTCATTACTGTTATCCACCTCACCGTCCATTAGTGAATGCCTGAACTTCAGTTTATTGATTATTGTGGCCTGTTTGATATGTTTTGCTTGGTTTCAGGAAGCAAAACTATTGCTATCAAGGCATTAATCTCTATTTCTGTTCTGTCAGAACTGCCATATAATCATGTTCAACATTAAAATGTCAATTTCAAAAAAAGATTTTCTGGATTGTATCCAATATACAAGTTCATATAAGGTTATGAAGGAGTCGTCCTGCACTTCATGAGCATAGAATACTCAGCCCTTCCTTTTCTCTCATTCTTTTCATTTCTTTTGCAGGTGTTGCCAAGTTGGTTTTTGCTCTGTACAAAAATCTGGGCCAGTTCTTGAGCACAGAGAACGCAACGATCAAACTGGGCAGCGAGGCTCACGGCCGCAACCTCTCAGTGGCGGTAAACTCTGACGTCATCGCCGCCTCAATCAACAAGGAGTCCAGTCGCGTCTTCATAACGGAGCCGGTGATTTTTACCCTGGAACACATCGATGTGAGTCCTGCTGATAGACAAACACACAAAGTTTATGCACAGCAGGAGAGGGCAGCTAGACAGAAAAGATAAGAGAAGTGCAAACTTTGTTTCATTTCAAAATACCCTGCAAGGTCATAGAGGAGTTTGTTTAAACCATCGAACATGAAATTAACTAAGAATGAACTGGTGATTATTAGGGGGTCTAGACGAAATTCTTAATGAATACTAATTCGTTCGTCGACATTAGGATGTAAATGATGCAATTTCCCTTTTTTTCGATTGGAAAATTAACTCCCAGATTAGCCGTACAATGTGGGATGAAATTACCGGAGGACCAATTATCTTCTGTCTTTTAAAGTTGTCAGAAGTGCTCCCAGAGGAGCCCCAGCTTGATTTTTGCTCTCTATCAAAGTAATTGTGTGATTTTCACAGACATGCCTTCAAACCATTATACTCCCTATTAGCACCTCATATAATCAATGGTCCCATGCTAGATTTCTCAGTTGTTTAGCAATGGGACTACACACTGAGTATTTAGTGTTTCCTATGAGGGTGATGCATCATTAGCTTGTCAAGGGGAACGATGAATGCTATGCAATTTAGGTGTGGGGATTATGAATATGTCTACTTTTTTGTTTTTTTCCTTGCACAGATGCAACACTACTTCAACTCAAACTGCTCCTTTTGGAATTACTCTGAGAGGAGCATGATGGGATACTGGTCCACACAAGGTTGCAGGCTCATTGATTCCAACAAAACCCACACAACCTGCTCCTGCAGCCATCTCACAAATTTTGCCATTCTCATGGCTCATCAAGAAGTATTGGTAAGAAATGCAGCACATCAGATTCATAACTTGGTCCCCTAATCCATTCCCTCTTATTTGTTGAACAAAAACGAAAACAGGCTGTGTTTTATAGCCCTTAGCAAGCTAGAACAGATGGTTGTGACAGACATGATGTATCATTGGCTTGGCAAGCCATTTATCTCTTCTACTGATAAACGGATATTTTCTCTCCCTCCTTTCTCTTGTTCACCAGGGCCCGGACGGCGTACACAAGTTGCTCCTGACAGTCATCACGCGAGTGGGCATCGTGGTTTCCCTCATCTGCCTTGGCATGTGCATATTCACTTTCTGCTTCTTCCGAGGCCTGCAGAGCGACAGGAACACGATCCACAAAAACTTCTGCATAAACCTCTTCATTGCTGAACTCACCTTTCTAATTGGCATCGATATGACAGAGTACAGGGTAAGCTTTGAGACTTAGCCATTGATTTTGTGATTCGGTTACTCCTTTTGTGTCTAATCATACCAAGATGTCTCTCTCCACAAGAAAGTTGAACCTTCTCTTTTGAACCAAAGTCTTGAGTAATACAGGAAAGCAGCATGCTGCAGCTGAGTTATTTATTAGTTATAATTCATTTTTATACTTCAGATTTACCACCAAATATAAATAAGCATAACTGCTGCATTATTTTTTTGCTTTTTCACCTCTTCTCTTTATTCATGGTATGGAATCACTTACATGTGTTTAATTACAAGAGTATATACACTGTGTGTGGATTTAGTTTCTAAAGGATAATTGGTGTGCTGGATTGGATTTTGAACTGATTTGCGTAATATATGAATCATACGTTTGCAAACTAGTCCTGGGTGTTTTAACCGCTTCTAATGAAATAAAAAAATATACGTATTAAAAAGTATCTTAACATTTAGAAAACAGTCTCCCAGGGTTAAAACTCATTCATGAACATGTTGACCAATTCTCACAAACATGCCAACGCATACATACCTTAAGGTAAACATCATAATTTTGGCTTAATTCTGTCAGTATGTGCTACTTTAACATGCAAATAAATTGCATTTATTGAAATTCATGACTAGGACTGGCCAGATTTCTGCAGGCTTTTGAAGGATGTAGTTGTGCTCAGTCATCCCAAAACCTGACATGTCCAACTCAGCACTCCTTGTGTGATTTCTAAGCATTCAATCACTAGGGATAAGAATAAGAATTTTAACTATGAAACCAAGTTTATTTACTGTGATTAACTTGTGGAAATACACTCAGTTGACTTAGTTCTGTGCAGTACCAACTTTGATGGTCCAGTTGTTTCTTTCTCTCCTGTCTTTAGAAATTCTTCAGAAAAGTGTTTGAACTAGTCTTAAACAATTCATCACATCATTTCAAAAGAAGATCTTGGAATGTTGGCTTTTTCTTTTAACATGCCTACTACATTTTAATCAAACATTGTGGTATTGACTTTCTACTCAAACACCTTAAAATAACAATCGGCCTGATTATCAAATCACCAAAATTTTACATAAGTATATGCACGATCATTCTGATGATGCATACCAAATGTGACCTAGAATGGCCTTCACGGGGTGCTACAGTGCACAAATTATTTGAAATCATTAATTACAGTGTAACTATGCTTCAGTGTGGCATGAAGACAAGCAGTCATGCCAAATGATTCATTTATCAAACAACTCTGCAACATTGTTTTTTTTTTTTTTTTTTTGCAGGTTTTGTTTATTTTGTAAAGACTTGTTCCAAAATTCCAAATGCATGTTCTTTAGAGTTCCCTTACCAAAATACTTATCTTTTCTCAAAAATATGATTAAAACTAGGATTTCTCATAATTTGTCATATAGCTGCAAAAATGACCAAAGTGTAGTGCTTGGACCCCAATGATTACCATTGTAGATTGTAGATGTAGTTATTCTTCTGGAAAAAATCCTTTTTACATGTCATATGCAGCAAACTGTCCTTGGATTAAATTACACTAGTTACACTAGTCCTCCCATAATGACCTCAGCATATTAAAAAAAGTTTATTTTTTAACTAATATTTTAATAACTATTAAAACTACAGGCAAATGACTTGAAATTTGGATGTAAAAACACTGTCCTTTTCCTGACTGGCAGATTTGAAGTACGTGCGAACTCCACCTTTTTTCCATGCATCCGATTAAAATCATAGGCCAGAGGTGGTTTTTGGTGTTTGTGCACAGAGAAAAAGAACATATTTTGTCTTTTATTTTCTGGCTCTGTGCATAAATTTAAATTATATTGAATGCTCTAAGTAGATGCTGAGCAGTATAGCGTACTCATGTGAGGCTAGGTTGTCTTACAGTTGTGGTCAAAGGTAAACTGGACTAAATGAGCCAGCACATGCTGATATGCTACGGGCGAAGCCTGGCAGCAAGCTCACACCCAGTAATAGATCGAAATGACATTAGGCCCATATTGAAGCATAAATGACTGAAATTGTCCGCTTTATCAGCATGAATATAAAGAGAAGATAATTAGATTTAAAATATAACTTAACCTAAACACAACTCATCTGACATGCCCAGTATTTTTGGAAATAAATAAATTGAAAAAGAAAGAGGCTTCCTTGTAAGGCTTCATGGCTTCTCTTTGTGAATTTTAGTGTTTTATTATATTCTTTTAAATATATTGTTAACGTGGAGCAAGCGCAACAGAAATACTGTGGCTTAATTTTTCTTCTAAGCGTACACCTTGTTCCCCTCTTACTAAAAATATTTAACAAAATTTAATGAAGAATTCACCAATTCCTGCTGTGTTCAGACTGAAACATGTTTATTCTAAAGACTATACTGATTCTCTGCATCAGCACTTCTAAATGCGATTGCCATGTTTTGTTTATCGTCACCGTCTGTTTATCTTACTGAAGTGTTTTGTTTGTGTCACAGATTGACTGTTCGGTCATTGCTGGGATCTTGCATTATTTCTTCCTGGCCTCTTTTGCTTGGATGTGCTTGGAGGGAGTTCAGCTCTATCTCATGCTGGTGGAGGTCTTCGAGAGCGAATATTCACGGAAGAAATATTATTACGTCTCGGGCTACCTCCTTCCTGCCATTGTGGTGGGGGTCTCTGCGGTCGTGGACTACAGAAGCTATGGGACGACAAAAGCGTAAGTGAACGCAGAGATTTGCTTTAAGAGCTGTGTGGATTGCTATTGTTTAAAGTGTCTCTTGCACACAAGGAGACCGGAGCCTTATGAGAATCTCCACTGTGGATGAGTTAAGCGTATAGGGAGCATATTGCCTTGAACACAGACACATGCAGTCACTAAGTCTACAGAGGACACCTGAAGTGACTGTGGTTTTCATCACTTTGTTAGTGTGTTTGGCTCAAAGAGCCTCTGGCGACCTCTTGTTTGTAAAATGCTCTCTAACAAAGACAAGTGCCGCACTGGAAAAAGGCTTTTACACAGATTAATGATGGTGTTTTAGCTCAGGCTGGACTCTAGAGGTGGGAAGGCTCCTCCTTACATTGTTCATTAGTGTGTGCCTAAAACAGGTCGAACTGCGCTGTTTAGGCTTCTCTTAAAACTGCCAGTATGTCTGAATGCAGTAATGCAACATCACATGCAACTGTAGAAGGAAATGGAGAAAAAGAGATGTTTGATTTGAAGTTTTCCTTGTAACATTGCAGGCTTTTCTCTCTGTGTGTGTGTGTGTGTGTGTGTGTGTGTGTGTGTGTGTCTTCTGTGGTTTCTATTAGCACGGTGTAAGTTTGCACTAATTTAGATAATCAATATATCCTGCCGGAGGTCACAGACAAGAGCACCTGGATACTTTTACAGACAATTACCATCTTTGAGCTGCATTTAACAGTAATGTATATACTGGCTGGGCAGGCCTACAACATCGTAATGTGATCCACACCAGACGTTAGGCTGCTTTAGTCAGGGATAGTATTCTTGCTTTGCCTTTTTTGGTGTAATCCTTATCAAGACAGAACCTTGTTGTCTAAATAAATGCTTTTAACAAGGGTTTTCTTTTTTTCCCTTGTAATTTGAACTAGATTTTTAATGGCTTTGATTTTGCCTTTTCTGTAGATGCTGGCTGAGAGTGGACAACCACTTCATTTGGAGCTTCATTGGGCCTGTTACCTTCATCATTATGGTATGTTCAGTTAAATTTTTGGCTCTGTGTGTGTGTGTGTGCATCTGCCGCCGTGTGTGCTTACCAAGTGGGAACATTAGAGTAGAAAAGAGAGATATTTGCCTCCAGAACTGGCCGGAACGATATGCCTCATAGTTTAAGCAGTAATTGACTTCTCTAAGCCAAAGACAGATGCTGTGACAAGAAGCGCTGCAATGTGAAAACATCAAGCCAGGCTGCCTTTGTTATTCCCCCAGCTTGATTCAACAAATTGTAGCCCTTCGATTTCTGCTCAGATCAGTTCAGTCTCAGCAAACCCAGTCAATGCAGTCCACTGTAAGAGAGAAGCACTCTGAAAAGAAGCCACTAAGGCCCTGAATAATGTTGTTGTTGGGAATAATTGTGCTATGACACAGAGAGCCTTTCTCAAAAGAGGCGTTAAACTATAATGCATCCTCAAATAATACTCAACGTACTCGCAAAGGGCAAGCCAAGGCTACTGTAGGCCAGTGTCCGTAAGTGGTAGGCAGTGTTTTTTTTTTGTTTTGTTTTTTTTCTGCAACGTGACTTTTTAAGGAAATAGCTGATATCTTTCTGTTCTGGTACAGTACTTCCAGCGGCATTGGAAGAGCTTGTTTTGAGGAGCACGAGGGTGAAGGACATATGGCATATCATATTGACACAGCTGCCGTTCGAGCATGCAATTATTTACTGGTTATGACCCCACTGGCTCCAAGTAGATTGGTGAGGCACAGAAGCAAGAGGCCTGGGGGAGTTGGGGAAGAGATGGAGGGAAAAGAGGGCGGAAAAGAAAGAGAGAGAAAGAGAATCTAGCAGGTGGCATTCACAAGAGCAGAACGACTTTGGAGACGGCTCCACTATCTATTGGTTTGCCCTCTAATCTCTATTCCTGGTGGATGAGAAAGCGGTCGAAGCTCGTCCTTCTGAAAATGAAGAGAGGAGGAGGAAGAGGAGGAGAAGGTGGAGAAATGTTTGACCAGGGCCGAGTTCATTATCCGCAGACGACATGACCTCCTTGAATGTTTGTCAACCATTGAGATTACGGTAATGGAAAGTGCTGTTTGTCTTACAGTGGCGAGTGAGACCTTGGGCCGTGAACACGGAGAGTTATCAAATGTTTAAAAAAAAAAAGAAGAAGAAAAGTGGCAAACGGTCGCAGCTACTAAAATATAGGCTCAGGTACGCAGTTGCAGATTAGAAGTCACTCTCAGCAGAAAGGTCTGCAAATGGCTCTTTGTGGAGGCATATGAGAGACTCTCCTCTGCAGCCTGAAATCGTCTGCTGGTTTGATGTATGTGTTTGCAGTGCCTCTGATAATCAGAATCCATGTTCTAGTCATCTGCAACATAAGGAGCATGCCCCTTTATGAAGCTGATTTATGGTTGAAGGCTTCGGCTGGACAGCGAGCAGGACTTGCTGCTCTCTAGCCCGTTTCCACAATTGACAATGCGAGATGAAGCACAATGGCTGTGCGTTCTCTAGGGATCCACTGGGACCAAGGTTTCCCCCTAAACCCGTGACCCTGGTTTCTCAGCAAATTGGCTTTGTCCTTGTCAGTGAGGAAAGAGGTGTAGAGGAGGGGGACACAGAAAGAGATCTCATTATTCAAAATGTTACACTTGCAGCAGCCTGATTTTAAAAAAGGAGGGAAGAAAAAATGCCATCCTGCTGAAACTGACGCAAAGGCCTAGGGTGGTCTTTCAGCTCGTGTTTCTCGCTCTTCTTTTATTATTTTCTGCTCCTACATTCATAAAAATAAAGGTCCTTTGGAGAAGCTCTTTCGCATCCCTAAAGAACATTCCAGTTGAGTGGTTCCAATAAAGTTTTAAATCATCCACAGGTTCTTTCGGGAACCAAAAGTGGTTCTCTTATGGCTTTGCTCCAGAGGACCCCTCATTTTTAAGATGTGTGTAACGCCTAGATAAAAGGGATACTCCTGCAGGCTCTAGGAAGCTCGCAGGCAGCCAGAGGTTGCCCTTCTCCAGGGCGCAGGAGGGCATTAGCTCCATGAAAAAGAAGGACACGGAAGTAATGAGTGGTCTCAAGGCATTAGTATGCCTTGCAAGCTCGGATCATGACACGTCACGAGCTGTTTGCATCATCCAGGACAGCTCCATCTGCACCTTTAATATTTCATCCGGTTCATCCGGAGTTCAGCGGGCGAGTGCGCACTTGCGACTCCCACGGTGTGGTAAAAAGCTTTCTGTACAGTCCACAGAGTAAGAGCCCAGGGCCTTCTGCATGGATAGCTGTAGAGAGAGAGAGAGAGAGAGAGAATATGGGGGGCTAAGTCAGGAGCAGCTCTCACAAAGGTAGCAGAGGCCCCAGGGAGGCCAGAAGGGAAAGTGAGTTGGTGGCTGTGTGGAAGGAGGGGTTAGCAGTGTGCTTGGCTGAGTTTCTTTTGCTAGCATTGCACACACACACACGCACGCACACACGCACACACACACACACACACACACACATATGCACTCCCCTCCTCCCCTGTCTCATCAGATCCGTGTCACCACTCCAGGCTGTGTGAGAGGCATTTCAAAGTGCCCGAGTCACGCCGGAGCCACAGAGACCACCAGGTCCCCATGAAACAAAACGCAACATCATGGCAATCTGCCATATGAAAAGGGACGATATACTTCTTTTTGCCGTTCTCATCTCACTCCTTTCATTTTCTCTCATCGTTTTTCTGCACAGCCCCAGCAGCTGATTGTGCGAGGGAGGGGGGATATTGATTAGCTCTGCTTTTTGATCGCAGGGTACAAAACAACTAGGACGCGTGACTGGATGACACGGAAAAAAGAAAAGTCAGGAGAAAGCTTACTTCAGACCACTGAGGTCGTTCACAGTCATGCACTGTACTGTGAATATGCTGTCACTTTAGAACGAGAGTTCATAGCACATACTGCACCAAATTATAAAAAGATCGGGCAAGCTCAGCAATTTCAGACAGGCATACTCGCCCAGAGAAAGTGAAATATTCTAATGTGTGTGGGGGGAGGGATGGGGCGGTATTAAAGTTTTCTATCATGATGAACAACTGAAATTGTCAGTTTGTGGTGTTACTGTGGTGCTGTTAAATATGCTGAAAATGTTTCAAATGCACTCATACACAGAGCTACTTTAGCTAAAAGCCCTATTTACATTACATGTGCTACATTTTATGTAGCAGTGTTTATCTGTATTGTCTCTGTCAAATAAATGAATACAAAAATAATACAAATTCACTACAGGTTTCATTTTAATAGAATTCTTTCAACATGAAAAATAACTACATAAATGTACAAACCAGCTCGTAACTAGTTACCAAACATATTATGTATTGTGCCTAAATTGTCTTTTTACAGGGAGGCTGTAGCAGTTTGCTACTCACTTCCACCATGACCCAAAAAAATTTTTTTTACTGTTATTAAAAAACTAAAATCATTTAGTTTTTACAACACTGTAAAAAAAGTCAGAGACCACTCTTTATTTGTGTAATTTCCAGCCTTAACAGACATTGCAAGTTATTCATTTTTCAGCATTAATAAAAAAAAAAAGCAGAAACATATTGCTGCTGTTCAAAGAAAAAAATGAATAATAATTATCATTATATATAATAATTATCTCCAAAATGGCAGCCTTACAGGAGAAGGCCAAAACGTTCTTTACTTTCAGTGTAACTTAATGCGAAGAGATTTTATTCCAAGTCATTTTGAAGCATTTTGATTGGTCCATTCATGATGAACTTTTCTCAAATGATGTAGAAAAGCAAATATCTAAAATGGCGATACTTATTTGTGGGCAGCACTGAAATATTTAACAGATATTAAACATATTTATTTTTCAGTATGTAGTTTGTCCAACTTTTGCCTTTATTACAGCTCCCATTCTTTTCAGGAAACTTGCTTCCAATTTTTTAAGGAAATCTGCAGGGATCTTTTTCCATACCTCCAGAGTTCAGTCTTAGAAGTTCATTGCATTTTCCTGCTTCTCACAATTCAAGTAACCAAAACACATTTAGTAATGTTGAGGTCTGAATTCTGGGGTGGTCAGTTAATTGTGCTGAGAACACCAGCAGCTTTTGACTGATCTTTTCCTTGGACTTCCAGTGTTTCCTTATGCCAGTAGATTATCTTATATCTAATCTTTTCAGTAATATCTCTATTTTGACAGGAAATTAAATAAATGAAGGGTGGTCTCTGACTTTTTCACAGTACTGTATCATTAAAAACTGCTAACTGACCCATGCCTGGTTTGTGTGTATAAGAGAGAAAAATGTTAGTCCTCCATTCTTTATTTAAATGTTCTTTTTTATATGTATTTGTGGTGCCGTTCTTTCAAATAGAGGAAGGAATATGTATGAATATGTATGTGCATCATTATTTGATTTTATGTTTTGTCTCATTCAATAGACTATTCTGTCTTGTACTGTCTTTCTGGTCTTCTCTTAACAGCCCCTGTGTTTATCTGTGGTGGATTTTGATCCATTTTTCATGCTCTTATCAATATAGAATGGTACCACGGTTGGCTCCAGTCTTCTTGGCTGTGCCCTGCAACATGCAGTATATTGCATTAGGCACTGTCTGAAAAGAAGTTTAGGTGGCCCCTTTCCAAGAAAACAACTAATAAAAATCTCTCTTTCTTTCTTTTTAATTTTGTCATATATCTTCATTTATTAACACAGGCATTATCCTTTTTCGACAGCTTAATCTCATCTTCCTGGTCATCACAATGTACAAAATGGTGAAGCACTCCACTTCATTGAAACCTGACTCCAGCAGGTTGGAAAACATAAAGTAAGTGAAGTTGTTACGAGTCTTTTGATGTCAGCTCACCTGCTCACATGTAGTCCAACAGGCAGGCACTGTTCCACATAGTTGATAGTATTATTATTATCATAAAACAAAGGATTAAAAAAATAACTTTTTCCCCGTTTTGTTGTTGCTTTGTTTATTGTATAGAAGAAAGTATTTTACTAAACCACATCTTCTTGGTTTAATTCAGCCAAGCAGTGCAATTACCAAAGGAATTCAAATGGACTGAAGATTATAATCGTTTCAGACAGCTTTTAATAGGAGTTATGGCCAGAACATCACATAATGGTGACAGCATGACTTTGTGAGAGTTTCTTTTTAGCATCCACTGTTACAGTGACCACAAAATTCCTCTTGGCACGGCTCCATGTATTCAGAGTCTCCCTACAGCGTAGAATAAGGCGCTGGCTGGAAGAGCTGTGTGTGTGTGTGTGTGTGGCGGGGGGGGGAGTGGTTTAAGACAGAATGAAAGCATTTCCATGTGTTTCTTTTGGAAAAAAAAATCAGGACCTCCTTTAATAGCAGAAAGAGAACATATTTGTCTAGTGAGTTCTGCTTGCCTCCTGGCCTTCCAAATTAGAATGCAGTTGAAAAGATGAACTAGAAAGCCTTTTTAGTAACACTTAATTTGAAGGCTGCCTGTGTAGGGATTTCATATCATGCATAAGCAATAAATAATGCTTTAGAAAACAGTACTTGAATATTTATGTTGGTAACCATATGATGACATAAGATGTTTAATGAAGTAAATGACTTTGTATTGACTTAATTGAAAGACATTTGTTCTGATATTTGTTCTCACAGTTATGAAGCATCAGTCTCAAGCAACGAAACTTATAAGGCAAAGGCCATTTATCAGTTCTATATATATCTCTTTGATCTAGTTAAGAGCTCCGTGTATCAGTTTTGTAGAAGATTCAGATGCTTTTGAACTAAAGAGATCATTTTCATACACGTAAAAATATGCTTATACATATACATACAAAATCATGTATTTGAGTTAAAATAGAGGCTCCTTATCTTCGTTTCTAATTGAGGACAAACATTCAAAATGACGTTTTTTAAAAATATCAAATGTAAATATACTGAGTTCTTACTCTTGATTATTTTTTGAACAGTTTCTATGAAGGAGACCTGACTTAGCTGTTCATGTCTGCAGTCAGATGGGTCTCCATAATGGCAGCTGTAATTTTGTACTTTAACAAAAACACATGGTTGAAATATATGATATGGAGCTTATAGCTAACTGTCTTTTACGTTCTATTAGTTGGGAATGATGCTTTATAACAGAAATAGAACGAATATCTGTCACTTTAGGTTAAGGCCTCCTGTGTCAATACTATGTTATTTACTTTAGAAAATATCCTACTAATTATAAATTAAAAATACACAAGTAGCTTTAATAAATGCTGTAGTCAATGCTTATGTATGTTATGATGTCTCTGTGTAGGCAGCCTTGAAGTAGAGTATTGCTGCCTTTTCTATGCCTGTTCAGTCATTTTTGTTCATGAAAATTCAAAACTGATTTTCGTGTCAAAATACAGCATTTAACACTTAATGACCAGATTTTGTTTAATAATTTATCATTTTTTTTATTAATCTGCTACTTCAAAAGGGGTTCACAACAAATGTTACTGAAACAAGAACTCAAATATAAAAAATAGAGTATGATTATTGATAAGTATAGTAAAATATGATTAGTGCTAAGTACAATAAAATGAAATATGAGGTTCTAAAACCTCATGTTTGAGTGTCATGCTGTTGGTTCTCCACTGTTTTTTTTTTTTCTACCTGAGATTACAGGCTGGGGGACTGCAGCCCACCTTGCACTGGATTCAGTATTTGCATGTTGCATGTGGAGAGAGCTAATCTGTGGCATCTCGTTTCTTCTCTTCCCGTTCTCCATTTTTCTTCCTTTCTTTCTCTCTCTCTATCTTCCTCTCACTTTCCTTTTACCCAAACCAGTAATTATCGCGTTTGTGATGGCTACTATAATACCGATTTGCCTGGGTAAGCTCTCACCATATATCACAACCTATGGGGGTCACTCATAAAACTTTACCGCCACTGTAAATTTTACATGGTGGGAACAATGCAGCACATTTTCTGTTAATCCTGACCTGAACAGACCCCACTTTGTCTTGTTTTGTTTATCAAGCTGGGTTCGGGGACATATGTAATATAAATCAAATGTGTTTCTGTTTTGCTGTTCCTTTTGAAAACGGAAGTAGGAGCTAAAAAGCCTAATATGGCTGTAATGCTTTATCACAATGCTGCTTTTGTCTGACTCCGTTTGTAGCATATGTTTTACATTTGTACAGTATCTTGTTGTATACAAGTGAATTGGCTCAGTGCAGTTTGCAATCTCATCATCTGTTTAACATACAGAATAATAATGATAATTTTTCCTCCTGACTCTACCAGCTTCATCCAGTTACTTCCTCACTAATTCCAGCTTCAGTTTTTTTTCCTCTCTCTTTTTTATTTATTTTTTTTTCTTTTGACTGGACTGCATGCTAATCAAACTGTGATCTGTCTGACCTGATTTTGTCTCTCTCCCCTGCTTACCATGCTCTCTAGCTATGAAGATAATAAACCATTTATCAAGTAAGAGCGTTAGCTAGACGTTCCTTTTTTGGCCTCGTAGTTCTCCCTTTCATCATTCTTACCGCTCTCGTCAGTCTCCCTCTGAACTCTCCAGCTCCCTCATCCTCTGTTTAGAGTGCCCGTTCTCCATGTTTGTTTGTCCGGTGCTGTTATCCGTCAGCGCTGGTGTCCGAAGGCTCCCACGGACCTTCACACACCACCTCCTTTTTTTTCTTTATTGCTGTTCCTTTTCTTTCCTCTAACTGTATCTCTTTGGTTCCTTAGCTAGCCGAGACGTGTTGTCAGCGCCTCCTCAAGTGTAATGGACCCATTTGAAACGATTACAATTCTCAAGTGCAATATTCCTTCTCTCCTTCTTTTTGAATGCAGCCCAAAACCACACAAGCATTTCTTCACATAGTAGAGTGGCATGCACAAAATCCCCAGCATTCAAAATATGCTTCTAAATTACTGAGAGCCTAATAGATATACATAATATTCATTTATTCATTTTTTTTTATTCAGATCTCGGTACGTTCCCTTACATTTTCTCATCTCTCCCAGCCTCAGGTTCCAAATGACAAGGACCTGCTTTTAAAACCTTATTCTGCCATAAATGTTGTACGAGCGTGTTTTTTCCCTCTTTTCTTGAATGTTTTTAGTAGATGTCTTCCTCTCATGTCTTCATCAGTGCTTGTTTTAAAGGTGTAGTAAATGGTGGCGACCTTCAGGCTCAGAGTTGGTGTTGTGTATCTGCTTTTGAAGGTCCTGGACCCTAGGAGCTTTCGCCCTGCTGTGTCTTGTGAGCCTCACCTGGTCCTTCGGTTTGTTCTTCATCAATGAGAAATCAGTGGTGCTGGCTTATCTCTTCACCATCTTCAACACCTTCCAGGGGATGTTCATCTTCATCTTTTACTGCTTGCTGCAGAAAAAAGTGAGATTTACTCATTTTATCTATATATAAAATTTATTCGACACTTCAGACTCACACCTGGTCCAGACTTTGATTCCTGACTCATACAACTTAATAATAATTCAATCGTTTTGTTTTACGTCCGCTAATTCAGTAATAGTGACTCTCAAGGAGATTGAGAGGTTAATTAATATAATAGTTGTGTACAAAGAGACCAAACCTGCAAAGTTGTTGGGAAATGTATATTCTAGATTTTATTTGGTTCCAAGAGCTCAGTTGGTAAAAGGACGGCATGTTCAATAACTCAAAGAAGAAAAATCCCTTTGAATTGTAGGTTCGCCGTGAGTACAGCAAATGTTTCCGCCACACATACTGTTGCGGTGGCTTGCCAACTGAGAGCTCCCACAGTTCCACAAAGACAGCAACAACAAGGACAAGTGCACGCTACTCCTCTGGCACTCAGGTACGGTCGCTACTCTGCATCTGGAAGAACAGAGTTGACCCAGCCTTCTTCCACCTTATATGAAAAGATATACACTGCAATCTCAATTGATTTGACAATATAAAACCTTTTCTACAAGTGATGTACTATGCTTCCACTATGGCATGTTCTTCAGCATGACAGCAAACACTGCCTATTGTATCCCTTTTCACTTATAGTCACTTATAAACTCCTCTTTTGCTTTATGTTTTCACTGCTTGGGACTTTGACACTTTATTGGATATTTTCGTTCACTTGATTATCTAGGTTGCCTTGGCTTTTATCTTCTCTGTTATGCATTCTGACAGTCAGCAAGTCCCAATAACAGCAGTGATGGCTCTTTATAAAATCACAGGACAGAAATTTCAGGGATCACGAGAGAAATTTAATCAAAAATTCCAGTCAAATGTTGTAAATTGGGAAATGTGTCAGAGAGACAGTATAAAGAGAAAAAATTGGCGAAACGACGCCTCTGGGGCCACAGGTGTCAGGAGTAAGGATAAATAATTTTGTTAAAACTCCAGCATAGTTGCAGATCATTTTCTCCCACTGTTAACAAAGAGAATCGGCCCTTAATTGCTGCCCTTTGCTGTGAATCTAACAGAGTCGAATCAGGAGGATGTGGAACGACACTGTAAGAAAGCAATCTGAATCCTCCTTTATCTCAGGGGACATCAACAGCACATCAACCCTCAACCAAGGTCAGTCAGAAACTACTGATGCTACATGAGAAGAATTTCAGCCTTTTGAGCTCTGTTCTACACTTAATGAGGCAGACTTATCACGAATGTAAAATCACTGTTACTCTGGGCCAAATGAAATGATTTCTCCTCTTAATTGTTATGCTCATTCAGTGCTAGTGCTTTAGGTGTTTTTTCACCACCTCCGGTACGTTATATTGGAGTGCCCTTGGTCACCCAGTGTTAATCAGATTTCTTTTTCTTCTTCTTTTAATGCCAAAGTGGTTTATTTTTGTCAGTTTTCGAGCAGCTTAATTGAATTTGGCCCAGATTATTGCATTGCATTGTTGGAGATGTACATGTAGCAGTCATCCACACACATATGTAAGTCAGTGTCTGCACTAAAATAATCCACATGCAGTAACAGAACTACACATTTTAAGTTCAGATGTTCTTTTGCGCCTGACATACATAGGCACATCAATTAATCAGGATGTAAGGTGACCTAGTGGATGCTATTTGAAGGATTTAGAAAAAATGTCATTTATTATTTAGCCAGGGCACAAATGTATGATGATGAGAAGATGATGTTCAACTCTAGCTGACCCGAGTGGTAAGGTTGTGTTATTCAGAGTCATTGCTTTGGCTTGCTCTAAAATGCTAAAGCGGCACTTCATGCATGCATAAGTCAGGAGAGCTGACATTCTTTTCCTCTCTTCATGCTTCCGTTCCCTTGTACTGACTGAGACAACAAACATTTTAGAAGAGATCTTTCTTAGTGACTTGCTTTATTTATAGTCCCACCTAAACTGTCAGTGGTGTGAATGAAAATGAAATTTCAAATGAATAGTCACTCAGGAAATAATATGTTTACCAATTATTGTCATCCGTCCAGATAACTGTCAAGATCCTTTCAAATGGGAAAGGGCAATTTTGCAGACTGTAATTTTTTTTCTCTAACAGTTTAATTGGCAAGCAGTAGCACATTAGATTGACAGTATTAAGGTAAAAATAATATTTGGTAAAAGTATATTAAACAATACTGTAATGATCAGGATGTAATTATTAAAAAAAATCAAATTAGTATTATTTTGGACAAAAGAGCAAAAGTCAGAGACCACCCTTGATTTTTTTAATCTGTGGGTAAAACAGCCATTTAGAACAAGTTATTTAATTTCCAGCAGCAGGAACAAAACAGAAAAAATATGGTTAACAGAAAGTTACCGAACGATTGAATATAATATCAGTGTTTTCAGTGTTTACTATGCCTACTTATTGCTGTTTTTACAGCTTCCATTCTTTCCAGGAGACTTGCTTTCAGTTTTCCAAAGAAATCTGCAAGGATATTTTTCCACACCTCCAAAGTTCAGTCTTAGAAGTTGGCTGCATTTTCTGCTTCTCACAATCCAAGTAATCCTGAATTCAATAATGTTGAGGTCTGGACTCCATGGTGGTCAGTCCATTGTTCTGAGAACACCAACGGCTTCTTTGTTCGATTTGCAAATTTTCTTCTTTAAGAGTGGAGCTTGATTTTCTGGTTTCTCTTAAAGGTTTTGGTGGTCTACCAGACCTTTCACTGTTATTAGGAGTCCTATTTTTTTTAATGTCTTTTGACAATTTTTTTAAACTTGTATTTTTTCACTCCTGCAAGTGGATCATCTTATATTGAATCTGCTCAAAAATGACATACTCAGTGATCGTTTGACGGAGGGTGGTCTCTGACTTTTTTGCAGTACTGCATCTCTCTAGATATAAAATACAGAGGCAGCTAAAAAAGTAGTTCTTTAAAAGAAAAGAAGCCCAGCTTTTTCATCATCTTTAAATAAAATCTAAGCTTGAATATATCCTTGTACACATGCTGTGAACTTATGTCTCCTCTTCTGTCTTGCTGATCCAGGAATGACGGGCAATTATCTACTAACAAACCCACTTCTACGGCCCCAAGGCACTAACAACCCATACAATACCTTACTGGCCGAAACGGTCGTATGTAACACTCCTACGGCTCCTGTCTTTAACTCTCCAGGTGCGCTTACTAAACCACTGCAGTTCAACAACAACAAAATGGTCTTCTTTTCTTTGCTCTTAGATTTTCCCTGATGTCTGGTGACTGAGAGCAGAGTGCAGTGTAGTATTACTCTCTCAGCACATACAGCTCACAGATGGCATATACTGAAATATATTTATTACAGTGGCAGCCTCTCGCTGATTGATGACTTTTGATTTCTTTTTTTCTCTTCCAAGATATACTGTGCTGCATTCTAAGCCTCATTCTTATTGTTTCAATGAGAGAGTGATACTACCTGCACTTGTTTTATATTCTTCCATGCTTTGATATTTCTTTATGATTAATTCTGTGATAGATTCTGTTGTATTTCACTGGATAGTAAGTGATTACTAGCAAGTAAGCTGAAGCTTTCAATTTAATGTTAACAAAAGAGTTTGATGCTTTTTCCTTTTTACGATTAGTTCAGTTATGAATTATCTTAAAAATAAGGCAATTACATTTGTATGTTAAGATGGATATACATTATATAAGCTAAACTGGCTTTTCATTGATTCACAATTATGCCCCAGAGTATGATATTCAAATACTGTTACATTTTTGGAAATTGATGTAAACCTTACTATCTATTTGCTCTGCTTTTTCCCCTCTCGCTGCATCCCTCTAGTGACCTACAGAGAGACAAGTATGGGAGTAAAACTTAACTTTGCCTATCAAATGTAAATTTTTTTCAGCATGATTTTCTCAAAACAACAAAGAAAGAAAGAAAAAAGAAAGAAATAATGACACAATCACTGGTTTAACCTCAGGTCATCTATATTCAGTGAGCAAGTGGTTCAGAAACCATTAAAAATGTTTTAAAATGTGTTTCATCTCTTAAAGTCCCTCTAGACTTCAACAGGGCATTTCTTAATACCAAAGTAAACAAGTTTTCTCAACTTTAAGTTTATGCACGTTATTTGTAAAGGGATTTAATTCAAAGATGCGGTTCCCCCTTCTTCTCTCCTCATTAAATGATTATTTGGAAGGTATTTATCATAGATATAGAATATGATATCTGGACTAGGAGCTTGAACTCAAATAACTTTGCGTTAATTTCCACTCTGAAACTGAGAAATGGCCAACAGTCAGTAAATGAATTGAATGCATTTTTTGCAGTAAATGCATTTACATTTTCAGTTGCGAATGCTGACCACTTGTATAGTCGTTACCTCAGTAACGCTGGATGAGGAAATATGATCTGTAAATCATTTTATTACTCAGCCATCATGAAGCTTTTTTCATTCTTATCCTCTGGCCCTTCAGCAGTTAGCCTAAATGGAGAGTGATTTCTGAACTGATAGTAGTAAATAGTTTGAATATCACTCTAGCAGCTGCCTCTAATCTTTTGCTCTTCCTTCATTACAGAACATTTCATTCTAGCGGTTCTTTCCAAATTCTGATCTTTTTCTTCGTTTTTTTCTTCATTTGCATGCACATTATTATTTGGTTGCTATCAGTGAAGAAAACATAGTCATAATAAAACATCTATTCCTTTCACACATTCCACATCCCTCAGCTTCACCCTCTTACCTCTCCCCGAATGTTTCCTTTAGCTTCCCTTTTCTCAGGATACCAAACCCCTGCTAGGCACTACAAATGCATCATTTTCCCCCTTTATTTCCCTCTGTGTCCTTTTTTTTCTCTTTTTCGTTTCCATGACCCCCGTCTGAAGAGATTCCAAGAATCACTTCATCTGACCCATCCCAACTGTGTATTCTACTAGGCTGCTGCTCAAAAAAAACTGCTACATTTAGTCTAGCACTGCAAGCTGAAAGGAGAGCAGATCGGTAGGCTTTAGTTCACTCTTTACCTGCCCAGAGCAACAGCGTCCGCATACCCACTCAATTAGCCACAGACTTAATGGCCGAGCATGGAGACCAAACAAACAGGACGGGTACATTTAATGAGGAGAGGAGCTCGTAATTGTCCATGTGATTTAATTTGCTGAACCCTTGCTTACGCTGACTTGGTAAATTTTACTTTAATTTCTGTTTCCTTTCTTTCTTCCTTTCTTTCTGTCGGTGATTACTCATCATGTTTTACACTAAAATCATTTGTGTTTGTTTCGTTTTCTTTTGTACATCAGCTACTCTTAGGCCAGATAGCCTGAACAGACAGACATGATGTGAGTTGTCTAAAGTGAGTCATTTCCACTTGCCTGTCTGTTGTGCTGTTGGATGGTTGCTTGTTGGCTTCCTCGTAGTGAGAGATTTGGCTGTGTTTCTTTTTTTTTCATTTTTTTTTCTTTTCTTTTTTGCTCGTTTTTCGCTGGCCATGGCTCTGTTCATTCTCTTTTTCTCATACTCTCCCACCTCTCTCCTGTCACCCCCCACCAACTCTATTCTCACCCCCTCTCCTGAAATAAGCTGGAAGACTGATGAATTATGTTAACATCGTAGCTTGCCCATCTGTGGCTCCACATCTGTGATGTTCTTTAAAACGTGTGTGTGATGTTTGTGATTTGCTGACTAATTTTTGATGTTGTTTAGGATAACTTAACCATCATGCAAGCAAATATTGAAAAAATTACTCCATTTCAAAAAATCTATTTAGAGCACTTTACCAAACTGAATGATACATAATGTGATTTTATGCGTGAATAGAGAACCCAGGTCCTAAACAACATCTTTATTTTTTATTTTTTATTTTATTTTTTTAACATTTTCTGTCATTACAGGGCCTGTAGTAACTAACATACGCCCCTCACATGTTCTGTTGTTCTAGGACACTCAATGAACAATGCCAGGGATACAAGTGCAATGGATACTCTACCGCTAAATGGTAACTTCAACAACAGCTACTCGCTTCGGAACGGCGACTACGGCGACAGCGTGCAGGTGGTGGACTGCGGACTTGGCCTGGACGACGCTGCCTTTGAGAAGATGATCATCTCGGAGCTCGTGCACAACAACCTCAGGGCCTGTGGCAAAAGCCACCGCTCTGAGTCACGCATTAACACCAAAAAGGCGGCGGGGGCAGACGTCGGCAGCCAGGACAACATTATTGTAGCCGAAACTTCGTCTTTGGTGCACTTGGGCACTGAGAGTAATCATATAGTGGGGGGGCTGAGCCTGCACCCCCATCACCACCATACCCACAACCCCCACCATCCACGTGAACTGGAGGCCCCATTAATTCCTCAGCGGACTCACTCGCTCCTGTACCACACACAGGAGAGAGTGAGGACCGAGTCGGCTGCCCCGCTGCCGCCCCATAGCTACGCCACCCAGCTCCCCGCCCAGCTCCAGGCCCAGGACAGCCTGCAGTCGCCCAACAGAGACTCGCTGTACGCCAGCCTGCCCAATCTGAGAGACTCACCCTCGGCCGAGAGCGGCCCAGACACGCTCGAGGACCTCTCGCCCTCTAAACAAAGCGAAAGTGAGGACGTTTACTACAAGAGCATGCCCAACTTAGGGGCTAGCAGCCAGCAGCTCCACGCCTACTATCAGATAAGCAGGGGAAGCAGTGACGGTTACATAATCCCCATCACTAAAGAGGGCTGCATCCCGGAGGGAGATGTACGAGAAGGACAGATGCAACTAGTCACAAGCCTTTAAAAAAAAAAAAAAGTTTGAATTTTTTTCAATCAGCTCCACTCACCGGGACGATGTGTACTGGGGGGATGGTTATAGAAGAACGTTTCAAATCACTCTTCCTCTTTCTTCCTTTCACTTCGTTCTGCCACTCTTTCACTGGCATCCCCCCAAAGATGAACAAGGCCAGAGCTCGGCCGGATCGCAGCGTGATTCCGCTCGTTCGAATTGTCACCGACCCGACTGTAAATACAACGTCGATCGAACGCGGAGTTTGACGGACAAGCAAAGTCTTCATCCAATAGTGCTGCTGCTGTTAAATGACTAATAACAATGGAATGATTTCACATAAAAATAGAAAAATATACCAAAAAAATAGTATTTCTCATTTCAGCGCATACAAATGTTTGTCAGAATTGTACATAGGTTCACAATATTTCAGATCCAATTTTGTATTATATACAAAATGGAGTGTCCAGGACCTAAGCAGATATGTGTACTACGATTGTATAGAGATATTCCTAATGGGACTTGTTCATTTAGGAATTCACTACCCTGGATCCAAGGCCCCTTCTTTACAACGAAGATTGGATTGTGCTGTATAACCACTAGCAATCAAACCCCAGGCCTTATCTTTTCTCAGTTGTACAGTAAAAACCATCAAGGGTAATGGCATAAAAAATATATATTTTGTTGTATTTCTGGTGTACAATAAAAAAAAAAAAGGCAACCATAAGTATAAAAAGGATACATTTTAATTAAGTCTTTAATTAAGGCAATTCTGGAGAGACTATTGTGTGAAAATTGCACATATATAACAAAAAAAATGTGTTTATTCTTACACTTCATTCATCGTGGTGTGTTTGGAAGAGGATTAAGATGAAATGAGCGAGCGCAGAGCTTAGAAAGGTTGCTGACATCAAATTCTGTCTCGTTCATGAAAATGAGTTTGCTGCACCAAAGCATCGGGCTTTAGTATCAAATTAGGATTTTCTCGCCCTGTTTAAAAAGATTCTGTGGGAATCTGTACAGGCATGAAAGTCACTCAAGACCACAGCCAAACATCATACGAGGCTTTTCCAGACACGTTCTTCCAGCTAGGTTCAGATATTTATTTATTAAATTATTCTCAAAGGAAAAAAAAAACCAAAAAAAAAACAAAAGAAAAAAAGGTACTTTGGAACTCTTCTTTTTGTGAATACATTACAGCACTGGTTCAGTCTTTGCATTACCATGTTATTAAGGAGCCCATAAAAAATGTAAAGTTCAACACTTGTTTAACAATAAATAAATGTGAATTTTTTTTGGCTATTATAACGAGTTTTCATTCGCACGACTTTCGAATGCTGTGTGAGTGGCTGTGTGCGAGGAGCGAGAAGTGAGTTACTTCAAATTAATTAAGCGTTCTATTATTTTGACAGCTCTATCACCAAGTGCTTATCTCAATTGGCGAAGTCTTCAAGGCTGTTTTCAACACGTCAGAAACCCATTGTAAGACGATGCTCAGTATTTGCTGTAATTTGGGCATAAACACAGATGGAAAACAATTAAAAGCTGCTTCGTGTTGGCTACTCGTGTTTAAAAGACGCTTGAGAGGGCTGTTGAGCTATTAGCCACTGAGGAATCTGCCGTGCTCTTGTACAAAAGACTCCGCTGCACCTCTTTGTGAAGGTTGTTTTCTAAAATTGAACCGTCTCACAGTGTCATTCACGTCAACTGGCCGGTGACCCGAAACACTCTCGCTCAAACTCATCTACTGTATTCCTCCAAATTCATCCATCACTTACTGCGATCTCTGTCACTGTGCGGTGTTCGACCACAACCCTCATTTCTAAAGCTCGTTTGACAGGTACAGATCAAATTACAGTGGGGGAAAAAGAACTTGTGTGTTTCTTAGCTTGAATTTCGCCATGATTCAGTTCAGTTCAGTTACAGTTCTTTAGCAGTTCACATGGCAAATACTGATACCTTGGCAAGTGAACATGTCTTAAATCTATTTCAATACATCTAATATTTCTCATTGTAACTTTGTTGTGAGAGTGATCTTATCTTTTTTTCGTGATTCATTTTTTATTATTTCTTATTTAAAGGAAAAAAAAAAAGAAAAATACGAACAACCCCCCCCAATTCCAGCCCTGACCCACACACACATGGGACTTGCAAACAAGAACCAATCGTAGATACAGCATAGGACACATGAAAATTGAGTTACATCACAACTTAAACACATCATATAGTTAAGCGAGCACATGTCCTGACTTTAGATATTCCATGAACCCATGTATGAAGAGTTCTAGCAGCAGCATTGCTGACTCTTGCAGATGATAGTTCCAGATAGTGAGAGTCATCTTATCTAATAAAGATTCTGCTGTCTTATTCTGCTGGCAGATAATTTTTCATTTTTCTAGTGAATAAATGATAAACAGTAAAGAATAAACAGAACAATTTCACCGGAGATTACTTTAAATAAGCCAAACGTGTCAAGAATGAAGTTAAATAATTTTGTAATATTCTTCCAATGATCTCAAAATGAGACATATTTGATATATGGACGCCATTCAAAATTTCACTTTTTGCAGTGCATCATGAGCTGCTAAGTAAAAATACACTGAATATGCAAATGAGATGATTTCATTGAAATGGAAAATAGAAAGGCTTTTTTATTATTACTTTTACAGTGTTGTCCAAAAGTCAGAGACCAACCTTCATTTTATGTCATTTCCAGTCAAAACCGCCATTAAAAAACAAGTTACTCATTTTTCAGCATCAAGAAAAAGCAGAAAATTACAAAGAAGCATCAACAACTGAAAATACACATTTTTCAGTATTAGTGTGTTCACTCTTTGCCTTTATTACAGCTTCCAGTCTTTTGACTTGCTTTCAGTTTTTCAAACAAATCTACAGGGATGTTTCTCCACACCTCCAAAGTTCAGTCTTAGAAGTTGGTTACATTTTCTCCTTCTCACAATCCAAGTAATCCCAATTACAAATTTAGACCCATCAGTTGTGCAGATTTCTTTTTTTATTTACTTCTTTTTCTCAGTAGCAGCTTGAAACACCTGTGGATGATCTGGATCTGGATCAGCTTGATTTTCTCCTTTCTCTCATAGCTGAAAGCTTGAAGTGCTGTGTATCTCATCTTGACGGTTTGGTGCTCTACCAGGTGTGGTGCTGTATCGCTCTGACTTTTAAAAATTTAAATCATTTCAAACTCTTTTTGACTTTCCCCTTCCTGATCCCGTGATTATCGAGCAGTTAATCTCTTCAGGAATATCTTCTGTAAAAATCTTGTGCTTAGTGGCTGTTTTGTGTGGACATGAATGAAATGGGGGGATGCTCTCTCTCACTTTTGTGTGCTGAAAAACAGCCTGAGAACTTTATTCTGGACAAAAAATATGTGCATACAGAATATCACTGTGCAATTCTGTTCATTTCTGACATCACAAAATCCCTGCAGCTACGTCACCACCACCGGATTTTGAGGCACTAATGCATTTTCATAGCCCTGGTGTCTTTGCGTTGAAGATATTTGACACTGTTAACATTTGCATGTTGTATATTGAACATATTTCCTCAAAAAACTAAACGCTGGGAGTTAAAAATCTCAATTTCTGAAGCAAACAGGGACACGGCTTCTTTAATTGATAAGGATGGAGCGCAGGTTCTAACCTTGAATGCAAGTGCACTTTGCAACTGAATATTGATTCTGCATTGCCTTGCTGATAGCAAGAGTGCGGGGTGACTGACAGAGCCAGCCATAAATATAATAAACGTCTCTGAAGTATTGTTGTTTCTCGTTAAGATTCCGGAGGAGCGTTTGGAAAGAAATTGTCATACAGCATTGGTCAGTAATGACCCAGGAGTTGTTGCACTGGTATTTCTAAGAAATGTTAGGTCCGTTTCAAAACTTTATTTTTTTTTCTTTTGGCCAATAACGTTTTTGGCACAATACATGTTTAAACTGGTGTAAATGTAGATTTAAAAGCTTTTAAACGAGCAAAGAAGGTACACTTATCTTTCTACTTGCAACAAACTGATTCAACAAACAGATAAACTCCGCTTCACAGTTTTTGAGGCTGTGTTGATAACTAGCAATAACAAAGTGCTTTATCTTACATAAGCAATATCTCCACTGCATCCTGATTCCTGACAGGTCACCTTGTGATGTGGATTTAATATTCACAGGTGTCATCTATATTATTCCTCCACACCGTCATAAGGTTTAACCCCATCAAGGTGCCTCCACACTATAGATCTAGCTTTAAAATTTAATATCTTCTGAACCCCAGGTTCAGCTTTAATAAAGCTGTCCTGTAGACCGTCTCTTTGAGTGAAGTGTGTGTGCTTTGTAGGAAATTAATTTGTTTGCAACTGCGTGTCTTGTTTGTGTTCGTGTTTACTGCTAATGCAGCTTTTTTGCTCGATAATTTAAAGGTGTTAATAATTTAGCATTTGTATGCAAAGCTGCGCATCTCTGCTACAAATGCGAATGTCAGCTTTGTTTGCAGCATCTACAGTTTATGAACAGTTTGGCTGAAAGTGGAATGAGTGCAGAGTTAGATGTTAAACTAACCTCATAAGTGGGGAACATTGTAACAAACTGAGAGTCTAGTTGTGGGAGTGGCTAAAAAGTCTGGTAAATCAATGCAAACACAGTTAATTCAATGCACTTCTATGCTGTTTGAAAGACCTTTCAAGCCTAAATACATAAAAATATCTGCATCAAAACAACAATTTGAAAATATTGAATTCATTATCTCTGTAGTACGTATTTGATTAATTTGTGCATTAAAAACTTGCCAAAATATTAGGAATTCCCATTGCATTCACTGGGAGGCTTAGTTATATCACTGTGTTAAAACTACCTCCGCCATGTGGAGGCTGTACTTTAGCCTGGCTGCTTCAAAACAGCTCTATCTTGTCCCACGAGGGTGATTACAACAATACAGTGATACCTGTGACATATATACATATGTACATATTGTTAATTAAAAAAAAAAAACGTATTTATAAATTGGTTACTTTACATTATCTAA